GCTTCTTCTGGCTCTTAAAATGAGCGTCTGCCGGCCTCTTGATCTCTCACCTTAAGACACCACTCCAGCCGCGTCCTGTCTACGTGGCTGACACCCTGAGTGTTGTTTGCGCGCCAGCCCGATATTTCGGCACCAACACGCACGCACACATGACCGAAGAAAAGATGCCGCTCATGCTCGAAAACGGCATGAATGGGGCCATGCAGGTCGACCAGCTCGACGTCGACGACCTCTTTGGCGACGGCGTTGGCGGCCTGTCTCTTCATACGGCCCGCCCTCCATCGAAACAACTGCGCCAAAGGATCGATGAGCTGCGCACCCGCGGCTGTTGCCAGTGAGAAACATCCCACAACCATGCACAATGTATCCCAGATCTCACAATTCTTGTAGGGGAGTCGCATGGTCCAGATCCGGCGCAATAGCCTCAGTTTCACCAGACGGAAAGACACTGGAAGCCAGGTTCCTGCGTTCTCATCCTGACAATGGCGACTGGGGTCTCAGTGAGCCTACAAAAGTTGATCTCATCAGCATCAATCCTTCAAGCCCCATAATACACCTCGCCTGGGCCTCAACAGCAAGCCCTGAACTAGCCGTCATCGACGCGACTGGCCGAGTTGCCATTCTGACCTATTCCATCACTCTGAACCGGCCCTTCGCAACACGGAAATGGGATCATGACCCTTCCGACGACCTCCATGCCATTGTCGGAAGCTACTGGCTACCACTTGCTCCTCAAAGCAAACAGGTGAGCATCAAGCCCTCCCGAGACCCTTCTACCTAGCTGATCGGTCAGTACTGGGTGAGCCACGGACCGGCTGTGAAAGATGGCAACCAATATAGGTACGAAAGCTCCTTCGTACGTGCCGGGGGCCCGTGGCACCCGAATCCATCCAAGAGTGCTCTGTTGTGTGTGACGACAAACGGGCATCTGAAGATGTTTTGGGCTCAGAACAACAATAAGATCGAAGAAACCTCGCTTGAGCTCGAGAGTGTCAACTCATCCGACGACTTGATCACACATGCAGCACTTCACAGCGACAAGGGCAAGTAGCGAAACCCGCACATATGTTCACATGTGACTGACAGAGAGTAGGCTACCTGTGGATTGCCCTGGCCACCACCAACAAGCAAATACGAGTAGTGAAAGTTGGCATTCATTGGGGACTGCCGCAATCTCAATCCGATACCAAGCCACCGCCAGGCAGCCAAGCTCTTAACCCTACCTTGCACGAGAAGCACGTCGCCATCTCTACCTGGCTACCCAGCGGTCCATCCACGACACCGGTAGACTCAGCCGCGACGCAACTGACACACTTGGAGATTTTACCGTCGGTCATGGACCCCAATGGCCAGGGAGCTCCTCTCGTCATCCTCGCAGTTCGTACTTACGTGCCAACACCCAATACCCCATATCAGGAAACGCAAAGTATCATCGACAAGTGGGAGGTTCCTAGCGATCAGCCTCAAAGTCTTCATCCTGCCTTTGAGCAGCTTGGAAGTCGCAGGAATAGTACAGGAACGGCTCCAGCTGTAAGTCACTCGACCTTGAGAAGTCAAGTTCTGGTCTAATATCATCAAAGCCTACTTGTCGACTCAAGAAGTGCGACCCCGTAGTCATCAATAAGGCCGTGATTGGTCTTCATACCATCCAGTACGGCAACGTCGTCTGCTTGGCCTTCAGTGATGGCTCGGTGGAATACCGCGATAGGTATACTCTACAGGAAGTCTACAATGAGATGAATCTCGACAGAGTCATGACATTGGGTCAAGTGGGGTTCACCTTGCAGGATGATTCACCATGTGAGTCCAAGTAATGCAACTAAATTGCTTGATGGAGCTAACAAGATACTCTAGGCTTACAAATGGCCTTCTCTCCGACCAATTGTTCTGTAGTCAAGGTTCAAGACGACGGCAAGGTCAAGTGGAGTAGACTTCACCATCCTCTGGGAGACATAGGAAACTCTAACCAAGATGGTATTTTGCAAAACAACCCCTATGTGTCCTCCTGCCCTTGACTAACCTAGATGTAGCACCGTATGCGGCCACCTTGGCAGCTCTGACTGTGGCGGCGTCGACGGCGACGTTCAATAACATCAACTACGACGACATACTGGCCGTCGCTCGACCCTTTGCGAATAAGAAGCGTGCGTTGTTTCCCGTCGCCGTTCCGAATCCATCACTAACACTTTCAGGCTTCACGTTTGACTGGATCAATGAGATCGTACGGATGCTCAAGGTCCCGGTGGACTACTCAGAAGACACCCACCACGACAGTCTTGTACGGAACAGTTCGCTACAAATGTGCCTGAGCATTCTCAACCACCTCGGATACAAGGGCATGTTCCAGCCCCGGACCTTTGGCGGCAAGTTCGCCATGCTGGCCCTCAACGCACGCAACGTCGTCATCCTCATCACGATCGCGAGCAATACTCCCGTCAACATCCGCGAGAAGCTCAGCCCACTCGACGAGCACGAGGTCGTCGACGCCCTCGCGGGCTGCGCAAAGTGGTCCCTCGACCTACTCGCCTGGCTCACCGACTCGCTCTTCGCCCTCCTCGACGACCCGCAGTTCCTCGCCCTCCTCACCCCGCAGCGCTTCTCCGAGATGAGCGCCTACCTGCAGTCCCGCTCTGACGTCTCCCTCCACCTCCTCCTGTGCTCCTCCACCCGCGGCTTCCTCTCCGCAGTCTGCCGCCGCATCCTCCACCTCGAGATCCTCTCCAACCGCGCCATCGAGTTCTACGAGCGCCGCGCCGCGATGCAGAATGCCACGGACCCGTCCTCCCAGGCAAAGGGCCTCCACGTCGTCCTCTATAAGGCCTACCAGAAGATGCAGCGCGTCACCTCGAGCAGCCTGATTAAAGTGCAGGAGTTCGACCGCCTCCTGACCGTCCTCAACAACGACATTCGCACCGCGTACCAGACCTCCCTCGCCTCCCTCGCGAGCAAGAACCCGCCCGGCGCCGGCGCAGCCGCGCAAAAGGCCGTCGACGCGCAGATCAAGACCGCCCAGATGCACTGCGAGCTCAACATGCTCCTCGCGTCGTCGCCGCCGCCCGCCTTCCTCGGCGTGCTGCTCAAGTTCTTCAACACGGACCTCCGGGCCTACCGCGGCCTGGCCGACCCGTCCAAGCTCTTCTTTGCAGACTACGACCTCCTCGAGGTGGACGACGATCGCCGGACGCTTGCGGCGCGCAAGGCCAAGAGCCGGTTCATTGACGTGTTCAAACGCGTTGAGCTGGTCGGCCCGCCTCCCAGTTCTCGTGCTGGAGGCAGCGGCGGCAGTGGTGCCGCTGGTAGCAGCAACAGCAACAGCGCCAGCGGCGGTAAGGAAGCCGAGGAAGCCAAGACGGCGCAGTGGAGGCGCTGCGTGCGGTGCTCGGCCGTCATGGAGGACGTCTTTGGCTCGCGGCCGGGCTTCACCTTTGTGTTGGCGCAGCAGAGAAAGTGTTCCTGCGGCGGTCACTGGGGGCTTTTGCCTAGGGGGTCTCTCATCGGTTAGTTTGGGATTTGACCTGGAGTGCTAAGAACAAAAAGTACGTGGGCGACTTTTGATTACAGAGAGGGTTTCAGTAGGGTGTATTTTGAGAAGAAGAAAAAGACGTGATTGATAGCAGTTGTCTTCCAAGACGTAAGATATTAGTTCAAGGATGTTGATTTAAGCTACCCTGGTTATCCCCAACTACTATGGCCTTTAACTGCCCGTTGCTTTGCAGCGTGTCTGCGATGGATACTCCCGCAGCCTGGGGCAGAAAGCTTGTATAATACTGTGAGAGATTGAGATTGTTCCATGTCTTTGTAGGCAGCGAACAAGGTAGAATGAACATCTACAGAGTAAGGTAGACTGTAGCAGGATTGATCACTGCCTTAATTCCACGTCAGACACGGATGACCTACCATCTACCTGATCGTAGACAAGTTTATCGTTGGGTCTCTACTTCTCTTCCTTTTCTGTGCTTGCAGGTCGCAAGAGTACATCTCGTACTTCTCAAGAGATTAACAACAACACGACAGCGGTGCAAAGCACACAGCAAGAGCACGAGTCCGCACAAGCGCAGAAAGGAGACAGGCAAGGCGTCACTTACCCACCCTAACCGTCAGGGAGGCGCGATATCATGGGCGAACCAAGGCGCTCACGCAGCTTGATCAAGCCGCTCTATCCGCTGCAGCCGGATTTGAGTTCAGAGGGAGAGGTAGGGATGGAGAGATTTGCTTCAATCGTCAGACACAGGAGAAATGCGTTGGCCTTCAGCATGAACTGCCAGAAGTACCTAGGAGAAGGAAACGAGGAAGTTGAAGGTCGGCTTCGAGCACAACCCCATGAAACAGTCATCGTCTGTTCAAATTTTTGATTCCCCAACTATCCCTGACTGAGTCGTTCGGCACTGCCCTTGAGGATACCGATGGGTTCCCTCTTGGCGATAGATGTGCGGTCAGGGACGTTTCAATGTCTGCCCTGTTTTGCTCAAGCCACTCCAGGCCCGATATCCTAATTCCCGTCAGTTCCCTCGAGGTGCGCACGATGTCCGCGTCGTCCATGGTTGAGAGAAGCCTTTGGGCTTTGATGAGTTATCAACTCGTCCGGCTGGGCAAACCGCCGACGGAGCCTCGGACTTTTACTCTCAACAACATTCGGGCAGGCAAGCCCTCGTAACTCCATGAAGAAACTCGAATAGCTAGACGGATAGGCGAGATTGCTTCCTCATGCTTCAGCCGTCACCCACGGTGAAGAGTTCCAGATCCGAAGTTGGTTGCGAATAAGATTGACGCCAGAACCGGGGGAGACGTAACCCTGAGAATCGTACAATATCCGTGTTCCGTTAGCTTCGATAAACTGGAAACCGAGCTGCATGTTCCACCCATGAATCCAGGAGATACACTACGCCTGGGGGCGGGACCGATACCAAGGGCGGTGCTCGCGGTAGGGCGGCTCATTGTGGAGATAACTGGCTGGCCCCCTCCGGGACAGGATGTGCTGTTGCCTCAAGATCAAGACATGCATGGTGATTTGTAGTGAGGCCGTGAAGACCGAGGATAGCAGCACAAGTTGTGGAGCGAGCAGCGACCACCGCTGTGGCTACTGGCTAGCAATTTGCGAGCGCAGGGTACGGCGAAAAGGAGCTTCCTCTTGGAGCAAGATTCGAGTGTTACAGAGCTTAGCTTCCGCATCTGCAACGCGTGTGATTTCATTTTACCTCCTGGCCAGTCAACACTTCGTAATCCAATTACTGTCGATGCCGTTGAACCCCCCCCCCCCCCCTTTCAAAATTCTCAAGACGGCATGGGAGTGTGTATTTGCTTTGGAGATTGTGGAATGTCTGTGTGCCCTCTAGCTCATTGTCGATGAAGAAACCCGAGCTGTCATTACAGTCTGTGTGTTGTAAACAGTTATCATGCTCATGCTCAGCGGTCGTCTCCGACCAAAGACATTTGTAGTCTGCAGATGGGGGCGCAACGCCCCGTTGGTAATGTCATTGCTGACAAGATAATCAAGCACTAGTCTTGTCAAGGTACGGATATACACACCTGCAGGAGACAGATGCCAGAGAGGGTGTGAGGGTCTAGGCCAAGCACTTGGTAGGCGGAGCTCATAATGATTTCCTGGTGCGGATCAGGAGCTTTGGTCGAATGACGTGACGAGGTGGCCGGAGGAGGTTCCTGGGGGTGGTATTGGAACCCCTTTAATCCGGGGAGATAGATATCCTAGTCATTGATTGTATGACGAGAAGAATTGAACAATTTGATCTGGGCTGGAAGTGGTGGCCAAACCCTGGTGCCCTGGTGGCGGGCTGTGTGAGCTCCCTCTCATGGCGTGAAGATAGACGAGGGCCACCGTGGGGGATAAGGCAGCTCAATTTGAGCACGGTCTCTGAGCTGATGCTTCTCGAACTCCATTGCCATGCCTTAGCAGCCCAACTAACAACGAATCTCCTAGATAAAAAGCACCACTAGTTGGTGGTATTGCCAAGTGCTTGCCGCAAAGAGGATGCAGCGCCGATCGAGATTCCGGTTCTGGAAGGCGAAGAAGATGTGCGAACAGACTGTAGTCCACGTACATAGTTTCGGTCAACGGAAGTTGACAAACCAACGGCCGGGAGGCTTGGTGCAGCCGATGGTATGTACTCGGTACGCCAGCTTATGTGGAACAGGTTGTAAGGCGACCTGACAGCCCCTGCAGGCCGAGATGAAGCACCGGCGATAGGTATTGAGAGATGGAAGTAGGTACCAAGTTCCGACACAGGGTAGGCGCCTCGGAGGATTTCTGGATCGAGAAAAGTTACACCTGGTGTAGTATCAGAAGGAGGATCCGTATTCGTGGCTGTTCTGCGTGTGCAACTTTGCAATTGACCAGTCTGCCAAGCAAGGATGATGAGATTGATATGAAGTCAGTTTGCTGTTGGTTCGATATAGCTTGGATAACAAAGAGAGGCCAATTAGCAAGGACAGTCAGTGCTGTGTCATTCATTGGAAATGGACGGACGGCTGGACATTTTAGAACTCCAGAATTGGTGACGGGGACATGATGAAGACCGCATCCTGTAGAGGCATCTCATAGGCTGGCTTCGGTGATAGGAGGTGAGGTGTTGAAGTTGCGTGGACAAGGAGGGATGTACGTACTCCGTAGTTGATGATGGGATTGAGATTGACGGCAGGGGTTCATAAAAAGCAAAGAAGGTTCGAAATGCAGACCTCGCCCCCACCTGGCATCGCTATGTACTTCCATTCGTAGCACAGAAATGCACAGTAGCAGTGCTTGGCAAGTTGACCCTGGCCGGGGGAGGCTGCCGTTGTTCTGACCAGGGCTTTATCGACCAATCATGGGCGAATAGCTTATCATGACAAAATGTGGTTACTCGGCCTCTTCGGCCGGTGCCCTTGCCTCTGATGAGGAGTCTGATCTGTCGGGCCCTTGCCATCTGCTGCCTTTCTCGGGCAGCTCCTGGCCTGTCGGTCTCCCATCAGGATGGTAGCGGCGGGACTGCTTGTCATCCTTGTTCGCTTTCCCAATCTGGCGTTAGGTGTTTGATATCACCACCACCAGGCAGGTGGGAAGGAATAGCTCTTGGTTGCGAATTTTGTCGATGTTGAGGCAGGCACCACACACCGTGACATGGCAGGTACGTTGGCTGCAATTACACCTTCACCTTGCAGCCCGCCGCACCACGGACAGTTGCTCAAACTTGTCCGAATTCCACCAAACATCCCGACATGCGAAAACAAGGCCAAGACTTGTCATTCCTCCACGATCTTTCTTAATAACTAACACTATTCATAATCATGACATGATGAAATAGCTAACAACTCTGACCAGCTCAAAAGTCAATCTTCCAGCTTCCGTCTATTCGCGACCCCAGCGTCGCATGAGGGACAGACTTTGAGTTCCCGCCCTGCCGCAGGAAATCATCAGCTCAAATCCCGTCTGTTTCAGTGAGACATGAGATGACGGCTACTATGCCCTTCTTCGTCTCAAACAACGGGCAACGAGCAACACACGACACGGCACTCTCACGGCACGCAGCACGGCTACGGATACGCCCGTCAGGCACCGCCTAAAGCCTAGGTATTCATTCCTATTGCGAGAAAACGTTAAGCTCTCGCGGGCGTTTGGCCAAGACTTTCAACTGAGACCCGGTTACCTACCAGCATCCCTTTCCCTAGGAATTCTTCCGAAACAAAAAAGAGAGATCAACCAAAGAGAAAGAACATCCGAATTTATTCCCTTTTTCCACGACTTTTGATCTTGTGCGGCCATAGCGGCCGCTGCACCAAGACCTTGCCGCTAATTTCTCACTCTGTGTGACGGCACGCCGCAAAGTCGTCGTTGTCGTCGTCGCCCGCAAACGTAGTGTTCATCCGCTGCTCGTGGGCCGTAGACGGCTGTTCCTGGCCGCGTCTGACATGCCTTGCGGCCGCTACAACGCGCTGCTCTGCCCATTCCATCCTCCTGCTTAGCATCAGCATCAGCTGTGTCTCGCACGTTCACGCACGTTGCCCTGCTGCGTTTGCTTCGCCGCCTCCTGCCCTTGAGGCCTGCCGGGTGCCGGCTGGCTGATTCAACAAAACGAGCCATGGTTGCCGATGGCCCCTCTGAATGATCAACCGCCGAGCCCGTGATGTGCAAAACAATGAGCTGCCGGCATCTGCAGACACAGTGTCGGATCCTGCCCCGACCGCGTTTGATGAGGCTTCCAGGAGCTGGCCGTCAGTGCTGTTTAGGCCAGGGGCTCTCTTACGGCAAATTCGGTGATTCCAAGTTCCAAGAGAAACGACATTCTGCAAAGTTCAGACCAGAGCGTCTCGTGTGTTTGAAGGAAACACTGGTACAGCGAGCGAGGGGTCTTGTTATGGCTGTGTCGGTACGAAGACCTAGCTACAGGATAATTAGGATGCCAAGTGGTAGGTAGGTATCCATCCCATCCGTACCGTACAAGTTACAACGGTCGAGCCGGCATTAGCCCAAACAACCTGCGTACACGACACAAGACCTTCTGAAAGGCGAGGAGAACTACGAATGCTCGGTCCAGCAATTGGCGTCTGCGTTAGTAGAGCGCGCTGCAATAATCGTGGCTGTTATCTGAATCCACGCTACGACTAGACCCTTGCTTTGATAACAATGGCCTGTGGTTCTGCGGATTCTCCTCCCCCGTTCATCCCCCACCAATAACCAAACTGCGGCGATTTCGACCCTAGTTGAACTGGACAGGGGCCTGGGGATGGGCGTGGTCAGATTAATGAATTGGAAGCACATGCATTTCTCGATTGCGACTTTCATCCAACTGTACGGGAAGAGATGACTTTGAGACCAACTATTTGATGAACCTTGAAGCACTAACTAGTATCACAGACACAGGAGGCAGGAAAAGCCTCGTCGTCGTCTGATGACAAGTCTGACAAGTCAGCAACGATCCGGTCTGGAAGTGAGGACGGACGGACGTATGGAGTAGACTACGCCAGACCGAAAACGGGTGACCGGTCCTCTATGGTATCGAAGCCGTTGTGTCTTGAAGCCGTCGGGTCTTATCAAAACCCAAGCCTTCTGGTTTCTGGATGCTACCTTGGCTCAACCCCAATTGCTTACCAAGGCGTTTCTTATGGGGTCTTGCTCTTGTTCCCGCGCACCACTTTCATTGCTTTTCCCAACCTGCAATTCTGCACTGGACAAGCACGATTGCCGCATTCCCGTTGCTTCAGGTTGCTCGCTGACTTGCTTCAAAAGGAGTCAGGAGAAAGGCTTCAGGATTGAGGAAACATCCGTATCCGTACAAACACGCAGCAAGAAAAGAGAAGAAGAACCAACCTACGTAGTACAAATACAGAATTGCAGAGTACGGATACAATCCATGGATCTGCGTCGCAACCGACAAAGCCTCCACGAGTCCACCCCCGTGCCTTGCCCCCTAGTGCACACCCCAAGTTGTACCGATTGGCCTTATTCGCGGCTCGCCCTGGTTGGAACCCTGCTTCGTTCTCGCAGGGCTTCCCACGACCTCCCACACACACCACTCTCACCTCACCCCCGAGAAAAAACTCTGGCCACCCCCCCTAGTCCATTGCCGGCGGTCTTGGCCCAGGGCGGACAGGGCCTGTCTGCGTGGGATAGCCCAGACGTCCCAAGCCGCAGCCTGTGGCCTCCTTCTCTCACAGACTCGCACTCCTTGAAGAGTCTCTGGACCATGGGCTTTTTTGGCCGCGTCGGGCGAGTCCTGCCGTACCCGTTTAGCTTGCCCGCCACAAGCAGGGCTAGTCGCCATGCCGCCCGCAACGCAACTCTGCGCAGACAGTCGGGGCGCCGGGGCATCCACATTCATAAGCTTCGCGCATCCCACGCCCGTTCTGAATGCTTCATCCCGTCGTCTCACCCAGTGCTGTCCTTTCCGATCACCCTGCGACAGCCCTTTGCGCTCATTTTCGAGGCTTCGCTCATACGAGGAGCCAGCCGACAGGCTTCTTAATACGACAATCATCGACCGTCGACTGCAACTCGCCAACTTCTAGTGAAGTGCTGCTCTCGGTTCCATCCACGACGACTACGATTACGTCCAGGCTCAGGCCCTCCAATTGCCGATTCGGCGATAAGATAGCGGCGGCGGCGACAATACCGTCACGATGGCATCCCCTCTCGATCTCGAAAACCTCGACTATGTTCATCTCATACCCTACAATGGTTCTGGTCCCACAGGAGGAGATTCTCTCACCGAGGATCTGAACATTTGGTATGAGGTACGTCATTTTCAAATACCCTCAGCGCAGATATATGCTTCCTGTGGTACGGCTGCTAACAAAGAGGCACAGACTGGTGACATTGGATGGATGATTACAGCCACCGCGCTGG